AACCTCTGCTATTCACTCCCTGATTTCCACCATGTGAAGCCACTGCCAAGAAAAGTGCTACTGGGAGTTCCCCTCCTCTCCTCCAGCCTCCGCAGCTCCACTGTCTGCCGGGCTTCCTAGCCATGCTGACCGTGGTCACAGCGCAAAGCCTGGCTATGTTGGCTGCAGGTCACAGCTACTCAGGGACATCCAGGGAAGCTGGAGATGTGCGGAAAGGCCAATGCAAACCCCAGCAGATCACAAAGCCTCCTGTCTTTTGGTCCAGTCCATGGGGACACAGCACCCAGCACATGCCAGTGCATGATGGGGTGTGGTATTCGAGCTGCGTGTGGACCTGTAGTCAGGCAGTGGCATCAGCCATGGTGAGTCTTTCCTTCCCCAACCTGAGTTGGTGCCCAAGTTAACCAGTACTTCCCTGGGGCTGGGACATGGCCCCTGAGTGGGGCCTGGATGTCCTCATCCTCCACAGAGCCTCCTGAGGTGGGAGCTGAAAGTAATGGGGGGTTTCCCAATGCTGTCTTGCAGGCAGTAGAAGACCTCCAAGAAGAAAGAGACTTTCAGGCCCACTGCATAGGTATCCTGGAGTCTCTGAATCTCTCTGTGGGAGGGATGACCAAAGTAAGTCGTCCTGCTCCCTGCTGCTACAGCCACTTTTCACCTTCAGGGTGTTTTTGCCAGCCCTCGCCTGCCCCCCGGAGCTCAGCCCTAATGGGCTCCAAAGAGCACAAGGCTTGGGGATGCAGAAGCTGTCCTTTTCATCTCCAAGCTGAGATGGGAATGCTGATGTACCAAAGTACCTGACTCCAAAGTACGCTGTGCTCTGATGGCTGGATAAAGATCTGCACCCCTAGGGTAAGGGCCTGCCCAAAGACCTGTTCTGGTGTGTGTGGCTTAAAGTCCCTTGCAGGGCCGTGTGTGGGTAAAAGTCCAAAAACAAACATACCTGGGAAATGCATTGGACAGAGCAACACAGAAGTATAGGACACTACTTGGGGCTTCTGTGTTGTCTGTTAGAGGTAGAGAGAGTTGGGTTGCTTTGTGAGAGCTCCTAGCCCCAATGTGGGAACCTGGCTGTCGCTGGACTGCAAGACAGCAGAGTAGGGGCTTTATGAGAAGCCCCTGATGCTGGAAAGGATTTGGATAGCTATATGTTTCTGGAGAATAGAAGGCTGTTTAAATGAAGGTCTTTTTCTGCTTATGTGCTGATATTCCTCTCTAGGGAAGGCACCTGATGGGGAAAGGTGATTTGAAAGGTTTGAAGACCTCTGATTTTGTGTTCTTCTTTGTGTTTAGCTTGCTTTAGGGATACTCAGATAGTCCAGTGGAGCACTGCCTCCATCTCCTGGTCCAAGAAAGGAAGTCTGAATTTGACTATGATTTTACTGCCACTATGAAGCGCACTAAGCACCAAAGCAGAGCAGATAAGAATTATAAGAAACAAACATATGAACTTTATATGATTTTTTTTTTTTTTTCCTAGAGTTTAAAGGTGAAGCTGTACAAAGATCAGAATCTAATTAAGCTAGCTGTGTGATATTTGGTGATCTTAGATCCTGGGAGAAAAAACAATTTCTGTTGTGCTGAGTCGAATTACATACTGATTGACACAAGGAAGCTTTTGTCATTTTGTCAAGACAACTAGAATTATTATCCGACTTTACTTCTTGATGCTATGTTACTGACTAGTCAAGTAATTTTAGCACTGCATGGTTGAACAAACATTTTGCCTAGGGCTGTAACATTGATCTGAAGGATCTTATATGCATATTGCATCTCTTTTTAAATACATTTTGGCAGTTTTTTTGGCACTCTGTGGGGCTGAAATGTACTTCAGTGAGAAGAATGTCTTCTGGTGTGAACTGAAATTATACCCCTATGTCACAATGTCTTTTTTTTTTTTTTTTTTTTTTTTGAGGGGAGGGCAAAATTCCTTGTAGACACCTGAAGGAGTTGAAAAGTAATAATAAAATTTAGGTAAAGGAAAAGTTCTTTCTCTGTTGTTGTTGTTTTTGATTTCTTTTCTATACAGTCTTAAAATGAAGGTCCCATTTTCTGGCCTTTGGCAGATTGTAATCATGCCAGAACACTTCACATCATGTAGATCATATTTGTCTGAAATGATAATATCATATCTATAATCTGCTGCAGGCTGAAAAGTAGCCTGTGCCTCAGGTGCTGTTTTCTGCCTTTGCTTTTGTTACTACATCCTTGTAAGTCTTCAAAAGGGAAAAGAAGTTATCCTATTCAGAAAAAACACCATCCAGAAGAAACTTTGATTGTTTTCAGGGCCTGACTTCTCACTGAGACCAAAGGCGGGTATAGAATCATAGATTATCCCGAGTTGGAATGGTCCCCTAAGGATCATTGAGTCCAACTCCTGGCACCACACAGGTCTACCCAAAAATTCAGACCACGTGACTAAGTGCACAGTCCAAATGCTTCTTAAACACCGACAGGCTTGGTGCAGTGACTACTTGCCTGGGGAGCCTGTTCCAGTGTGCGACAGCCATCTCAGTGAAGAACCTCTTCCTGATGTCTAGCCTAAGCCTCCCCTGCCTCAGGTTGACACCATTCCCGTGGGTCCTATCACTGGGGACTGAAGAGAATAGATCGGTACCTGCCCGTCCACTCCCCCTCGCAAGGAAGCCGTAGACTGCGACGAGGTCTCCCCTCAGCCACCTCGTTTCCAGGCTGAACAGGCCCAGTGACCTCAGCCGCTCCTCATACGTCTTCCCCTCTAGGCCCTTCGCCATCTCTGTAGCCCAGTATCTTACTGACTTGAAGAAAGAGGCTTGAATCTCTCCTGGTTTGTTTACTAACGAAGGAACACAAAAGAGACACGTGTCCTTGTCTCTGAAGAGGAGGTGAAAGAAGAGCCAGTGCAAGGAACACAAAAATCAGTTGCGCCAGACTAACATGGGGTTGTATCTGAGCTTGGAGACTGCAACCCTTTTCAGACTTCCAGAGCTAGAGGAACACTTTGGCTGCAGCCTAAAAGCCACGTGTACATAAGCTCCCCCAAGCCAGCCAATCTTCTTGCCATGACCTGCCAGGAAACAGCAATGTGGGCATGTAACCAAATCAAAGCCCAGACCTTCAGCCTAGTCCTTGACCTGAATAGTGAGGGAGGATCCAGATCCTGGCATTTATACGTGATAGCTTATATGCAGTGGAAGTAAATAGTGTAGTCAGAGGTCACAGGGCTAGATTTTGAAAAGTCCTGCATAAGGAAGACATCTCAGAAAAGCAGACTTAAATAACATTAATGCCAAGAAAAGTAATTCTGATTGCTATATTCTTTATCTGTCGTGACTAGACAGATGAAAATCTATTATATCAATTTTGCCTTTAAGGTCATTTTCTTTGATTTCTTTGATTTCTCTATCTATCTATTTATTTATTTATTTTAACAGGCTCTGTACTAATTTTCCTGACAGAATGGCTAACAGAAATACAACCCTTGTGCACCATTTGTAGTTAATTCATTAGGTCAACTCTAACCACTAAGCCCCTTGTCAGGTTATTTCTATTAGTGATAAGGAGCAATTGACCTTAAAAGACTGAATCCAGGTAGAGGAGCCTATTCCACAAGGTCTCTTGGCTCCACTCTCGTTAAGTAAATCTTCCAGGTGTGGGTCATTTGACTTTTGCTGTAAAAGAAGCTTGAGGAGATGAGGGGAATTGCCTTCCTGAGGGAGTTGAGGCTCAGGTTGTCTAGGGTGCTTTTCTGCTGTTGTGGTGAAGTGGGCTCAGTGTTATGCCGTGGGAGGCCTTTTCTTTGTGTTTTCTCCCACCTATGTGAAATAGTTTTAGTGACTCTATGAGCTAGCTATGTTGGTGGTGCCTTCTCGGTACAGCAGAACCCTGCTGGTGCGACTTCCCTGTGAAGCAGTGTGGAAGTGACTAAGGTTCAGAAGCGGGCAGGTAAGTGATCCTGGTATCTACAGTTGTTTGATGTTGAGGAGTTTGAGTACTTCCTTCACCTTGTCTGTTCTCAGTGAAACTAGAATGGTGCATTCTAAGCCTTCCCCAGGTCGCCTTCCCCAGGTCGCCTTCCCCAGGTCGCCTTCCCCAGGTCGCCTTCCCAGGTCGCCTTCCCCAGGTCGCCTTCCCCAGGTCGCCTTCCCCAGGTCGCCTTCCCCAGGTCGCTTCCCCAGGTCGCCTTCCCCAGGTCGCCTTCCCCAGGTCGCCTTCCCCAGGTCGCCTTCCCCAGGTCGCCTTCCCCAGGTCGCCTTCCCCAGGTCGCCTTCCCCAGGTCGCCTTCCCCAGGTCGCCTTCCCCAGGTCGCCTTCCCCAGGTCGCCTTCCCCAGGTCGCCTTCCCCAGGTCGCCTTCCCCAGGTCGCCTTCCCCAGGTCGCCTTCCCCAGGTCGCCTCCCCAGGTCGCCTTCCCCAGGTCGCCTTCCCCAGGTCGCCTTCCCCAGGTCGCCTTCCCCAGGTCGCCTTCCCAGGTCGCCTTCCCCAGGTCGCCTTCCCCAGGTCGCCTTCCCCAGGTCGCCTTCCCCAGGTCGCCTTCCCCAGGTCGCCTTCCCCAGGTCGCCTTCCCCAGGTCGCCTTCCCCAGGTCGCCTTCCCCAGGTCGCCTTCCCCAGGTCGCCTTCCCCAGGTCGCCTTCCCCAGGTCGCCTTCCCAGGTCGCCTTCCCCAGGTCGCCTTCCCCAGGTCGCCTTCCCCAGGTCGCCTTCCCCAGGTCGCCTTCCCCAGGTCGCCTTCCCCAGGTCGCCTTCCCCAGGTCGCCTTCCCCAGGTCGCCTTCCCCAGGTCGCCTTCCCCAGGTCGCCTTCCCCAGGTCGCCTTCCCCAGGTCGCCTTCCCCAGGTCGCCTTCCCCCAGGTCGCCTTCCCCAGGTCGCCTTCCCCAGGTTCGCCTTCCCCAGGTCGCCTTCCCCAGGTCGCCTTCCCCAGGTCGCCTTCCCCCCAGGTCGCCTTCCCCAGGTCGCCTTCCCCAGGTCGCCTTCCCCAGGTCGCCGAAAAAAAAAATCACCAATGCTCCACCCTTTTTTGCCCTGATGTTTTATCTGTGGTGTTTTGCACAGGGGTTTTGTGTTCTCGTAGGAATACTCTGAGGTAGTTTTTTGTCAATGCGATGCAGTTTGGGAAGTTGTCTTGCCCTCTTTTGTGTATGCAACCTCCTCCCTTCATCTGTCGTGACTAGACAGATGAAAATCTATTACATCAATTTTGCCTTTAAGGTCATTTTCTTTGATTTCTTTGATTGCTCTATCTATCTATTTATTTATTTATTTTAACAGGCTCTGTACTAATTTTCCTGACAGAATGACTAACAGAAATACAATTCTTGTGCACCTTTTGTAGTTAATTCATTAGGTCAACTCTAACCACTAAGCCCCTTGTCAGGTTATTTCTATTAGTGATACGGAGCAATTGACTTTAAAAGACTGAAGCCAGGTAGAGGAGCCTATTCCACAAGGTCTCTTGGCTCCAGCCTTGTGAAGTGAAATCTGCCAGGTGTGGGTAATTTGACCTTTACTATATAGGAAACATGAGGACTTATGGGAGGAGTTGCCTTCCCAGGGGGAGTTTGAGTCTCAGGTTACCTAGGGTGCTTTTTCTCCTGTCCTGGTGAAATGAACTCAGTGTTCCCCAGTAGGCTGCTTTTTCTTCGTTTTCTACCATCTCTGTGAAATAGTTTTAGAGACTATGAGCTAGTTACGTTGGTGGTGCCTTCTCAGGACAGGAAAATCCTGGTGGTGCTACTTCCCTGCAAAGTAGTTTGGCAGTGACTCAAGCTCAGAATCTGGCAGGTAAGTGTTCCTGGGTCTTACAGTTGCTTTGTGTTGGGGAGTTTGAGTACTTCCTTCACCTTGTCTGTTTTCAGTGAAGTTACTTACGTGGATTCTGAGCTTCCTTCCCAGCCCTTAAAATAAAACAATAAAAAATAACCTCAGAAGCTCAAGTACATGCAGGTAAGGCTGATTTTGAACATTGGTTACATGACTACATTGCTGTTGTGGTTTCCCCTGGCCAGCAGCTAACACCACAGCCATTCACTCGCCCTGCCCTCTCCTTCTCTGGGATTGGGGAGAGAAATAGTAAAAAGAAGCCTGTGGGTCGAGGCAGAGACAATTTAATAAGTGATGCACAATGCAATTGCCAACCACCTATTAGTCTGGAATCAGAATTGTCATAGTCCAAAAGCTTTAAATTGGTTAAATCCCTGAAAGTTAATTAGTGTAAACTCACGTTGCATCACTGAACTTGAAGCAGTAGGATAGACTTGCACCATTGCAGAGCCTCAGTCACGGATTAAATTGCCATTGCCTTTAACTCTGCACTTATACAAGAATGAAAGAGAAAAGCACACCTTTCTACTTTGTCAGCTAATGGCAGACCTACAGAAAAAAGAAGTTGTTATTTAAAAAGTTATGATGTTTTAAGGCATTTCACCAAATCTGTAATATTTGGTAGTAAGCAGACAACAAATGAAAGGGAAGAGGAAACAGTAGAAAGTACATGTACTTGCATGGCCTTAATTTACGTGACAATTGACAACAATGACAATCTACAATGATTTACAAGTCCCTTCCACCATTCACCCTTGGGACTCTGGGGACCAGAAATTCTCCCCCTCTCCCTGCCACACATAACTCTCCTACCTCTCAACACATCTGTGCATGACACGCTTTCGAATTTCTTTAACCTTTGACAAAACCTCAAGTGCATTCTGGAGACATACCAAGAAGAATGTGCTCGTCTGAACATCCCAATAGTCGAAGCTCTGGAAGGCTACCATAACTCACCTGAAGGAGAAGAAAGGGAGAATGAACAAGGGGGAAAACACATCTTCCCCTGACCCTACCTCAGAAACTATTAACAATGACGCCTTTCACACTTTTTCTTCAGGGAGCCTGTCTATGAAGGGAACAGGACTGGCTCCCCCAGGTCGTCTGGCTCCCCCCTGGTAGAGTCCATCTCCTTGTCTACATACAGAAAGGTAATAATTACCTTTATATATATATATATATTTATAATTTATATATTTATAATATTATATAAATATATTTATATATATAATTACCTTTATATATATACCTATGTATATTTGTATATATATCACTATATATATAGTAAAAATTGCTATTATTTATAGTAATCTTCACAACATGATCATTTGTACATAAAACCAAGTAAAATGCTATTAAAAACAGTATAGAAAAAAGATGTTCAGTAGGTGCTTACATCTCTATTGTCATGAAATTAAGCAAACTGAGGTCCTTTATATATTTTTTTTTTCCCTATTAAGAGTAGATCAAAACATGGAAACTGTATATGTAGTTGACACAACAGTGAAGACAAAAGATTGGTGTACTACTTCAAGCTCATGTTGCATAACATTTTTTTACAGTAAGTTACTAACAAAAGACACTTCAAACTTCAACTATCCATAAGTATTGTTAACAAATATTTACATACACATTGCCTGAACAGCACTGACTTACCCTTTTGAAAAAATAGTGTATTTAAGCTATATATGACACAGCATTGCACCACATACTATCTCTTTGGAATCAACAATATTGAATAGGGAATAAACCTGCACAGGTTGGCATGCTGCATGTATTTCATAGGCAGTCTTAAATTAAGATAATCTCAAGCCATCTACTGTGCATCTAAGACAACAGACTTTGTTATTTCACATTTACACACATTTGTTGTAGTTGTTTATCTCCCACTGGAGTCCTATCTTCCTGCTATGCATTATCACCCTAACATAGTTCTTTTTTTTTATTTTTTATTTTTTTTAATTTTTTCAGCTATCTTCTGTGAGATGAGTCTGCAAAACATTCAGATAAGCATGTCCTTTTTTTTTCTTCTCTATAAACACCAATACTTACAGAACAGTTTTTTGTTGTTGTTGTTTTTATTTCTTATTACAAAAAACTGTTCTGTGGACTTCTCAGGTTCAGAACAATTCTAGAGTTTAGACTATGTAGGCTGGATGATTTAAATCCCTTCATGATCTTATTCACAAGCAAAGGTGCATGATTTTCTGTGAAGGCTTTTCTGTTTTTTCTTGCTAGGCTAACATTTGCCTTCAAAAGTTTAGACATTGAAGAAAAGTCAAAATACAGTACTTGTTAGCATATAAAAAGCCTGGTGTATACTAAGCGTATATAGTGTATACACTATAGTATACACTATACTATATATAAGCATATAAAAAGCCTGGTGTATATGCACATGTGTTCTGAAGCTGCATAGGTATGAATAGACTAAGAAGTATCATTAAATGTTGTACATGCACAAGATGACATCCGAAACTAGCTCTGAATCTACAAAAGCTCCTTTTTTCCTGCACCGAGGAAGTAAACTTATTCCTCTCTTCAACAAGAAGTTAAAGATTACTTAGTTAATGAAAAAGCACTTAACTGCATAATTTCTCTTTCAGATTACCATTATTAATAGAGGATGGACTTAAGTTCTGCAAGGTGGGGAAAAATTGTAGCAGTGTTCTGATAACCCAGCATATGACATACAACGATACAAAAAACAAAAACAAAAAAACCCACTCCTTCATATATAGAATAGTGATCTAGCTTTATGACAACAAAAACTTTGCCAAATCAAAGTCAGATCAACACCCTTTTCTGTATAATTCATGTTCACTGCTGTAGAGGTAAGCCAAGGACCTTCCTGAGCAGGAAGGGACTATGCCTGTGGGCATAGGATGCTCCCAGTGAAGATCTGAATTAAATGATTTGTTGACCAGACTAAACAGAAATGGAGGTATGAAAGTGAAGAGAACCTGTTCCCCATGCAGAGAAAGGACAGTAAACTCGATTTATTTTTATTAATTGTAATATCTCAGGAGTACAGTTCTGCCTGAATAAAATAATTGGAAACTCTTTTCACTATATGTATCCAAGTACCTTATTCCCTCACATATATTATAGCCTTCAGAATAAACAGAACAAGGCTACTTACCTACTTCACAGGTAAAATTTAGAAGCCAGAGATTTTTTTTTTACCATAATTTCATAACCAGGCAACAGTATTTGACTTCAGTTGTCAGTGGGCCTACCAGATGTTATATGCTCCCTTCTTTTGTATGAGCTGTGGCAGACATAAAAACATATAACATCATTAAAGGAAAGCAGGCAGTATCACATGTTTGGTTCAAATCATATTTACTGTTTGACATCAGTCCAATGTGAAAGTAACACCTGCTCTAAACAGTGCTTAAGGACATGTAAGAATGTTGCTTATGTATGAACTAGAGGCAAAAAGCTGTCATGCAGTAAGAATTTAGTTATATAGAAACACCTCAAAAAGGTATGTATTTGCATACATAGCAAATGTATTGCTGTCCAAAACTGTAAGCCTTAGTCCAGAGCTACTGGCTTCTATGGAGCTGAGTGGAAAAGGGTGGAGGACAGAAGAATGTTACCGGGAACCTGATAACCTCAGCAGACAACACTCACTTGTTTCGAAGGCCAAGAACTTCTGGTTACTTGTTTCTTGTTTGCACCCACCATCAGTCTGAGTACTGGTTTATCAGGCAGTGCTATCCACCCTCTGTGTTGACAGATGAACAGCTGAGAAGGAGGAAAAGCTGGAGAAGGGCCAGGGGCTGTGCCCTGATAGAGTACAGCTGGCAAGACAGAATCAAAACAGGTAAATTAATGAGCCTGCAGAGACAGTCATGGAGTATCCCTATTAAAGAGACCACCTCAGTTTGAAGGTGGGGGGCAAAGAAACCTCAGCCAGTATTCTACAGGTATTGCCTAGTGAATGCTTCACCACAGAAACCCTCAATGCATCTGCAAGCATTATAAAAAAAAATAAAAATAAAAATACTCTATTGGTATTTGGCCAATATTGAATAGTTGAAGGTATAACATTTTTCCTTTATTTCTACGAAGGTATACACTCTCAGCATCAGAATTCATTTATGGGAGGATGGACACTAAGATTGTCATATAGAAAATATGTAGAAGGTAGAACGGTGTGGGAAAAGTCAACAATCAAATATTACCTCTGCTGCACATCCATATGTGGATGCATATCCTTTTGTACCCATGTAAATAAAATTGATCTGAAATAAACCTCTTAATGAGATCTGTAAGATTCTCTATACCATTAAGTAGTTTCAGAATTGTACAGCACTCAAGCTAATAACACATTACAACAAGGAAATAATTTCCCCCACAAAATGCTGTATGCTATATAAGCTAATGGTATGTACATACATGTATGAGACACAGAAATTATCATGTTCTGAACACCCAAGAAAATCTGTTCACAGTGATCCTGTTCCTTGTAGTGATAATAGAAGATAGACTGAATTTAAGATATTTTCAGAATACAACATTATTCTGTATGAACCAATTCTGACCATGTTCCTTCTAGATGCTGAAAGGAAAGAAAGAATCCCAGAGAGAGATAAAGCAGACATTGCTAACTATAACAGAATATGAAATATGCAGTAAATAAGAGCAATGCTATTGTTAAGGAGTCTTTCAACTGCCTATTTATGTAAGCATGGATAAAGACTTGACATTTCCCTTGACAATATCAAAGACATAGAGACATAGATATTAAGCTTTGTACAAAAGTTCAAATTCTTTTAAGTCCCTCCTGACTTCCTTACAAGACTTTATAAAGTAACTACATTCAGCAATTACAGGTACAATGACGAAAGGCATAAACTGAAGATACTCATATACATTTTCATTCTGTTTTATCTATGAACACGTTCAATTGAAAGAATGGAAGGGAAATATTGAAAAAACTCTAAATAAAACTCAGATTTTGCTGCTTCAGTTTATAATCTCTGGAGATTTCCCAGTTTAAAGGAACTTTTAGGACATCAGAGGACATACAGTCTTCCCTCTGAGGTTCCTTATTTACCTTATCCCTTAATTAAGAGGATCATAAATAACCTCTCACTTAAATATATTTTTATAAACTGTGATCAAAATTTAATCATACAAAATAAATACTAATTTTGGTTGGATTTCATCCCAATCTATTAAAATCTCCCCTTAGGGTTAAAATTAAAACATTTCCTTGCCAAAGGTTTTCAACAATGCTTGTCTAAAACATGCTTTTCCATATTTGATCTTTTTGAAGAGAAGTCCTGTATCAGCAACATTTTACCTTTTCAAAGAAGTTGAGAGCCTGGAAGCAAGAGAAGAAAAGATACTCACAGGTGCTATCTGCATTTGTGCTACACTTACAAGACAGTTCCTCTAAAACTAGATAAAAATTGCAAGTGATGCACACTTAAAACGAGTGACTCATTTTACCTGTATTTTCATTTTATCTTTGCAGTAGTAAAACACAGCAAAAACATCAATGTAAAAGCACCCAAACTTTTATAAGAAGCCTACTCCAGGCCGCTCCAGTTGCTTTTTGAAACACATTTTCTTTCTTTTTCTCCACAGTGTGGCCACCTTTCTATGCTTGTCTAACAAATGCCCAAAAGATAGCTGCAAGTGACTGTACAGCAAAATTTGTTTAAATTAGAAAGAAAGGGCTCAAGCATCCATTTTAATCCAAGTAAAAAAATGGATCTAATGAAGATGTGAATACTATTATATTCTTAATGAAAAATGATTTCAAAAGGTAGCAGGCAAATTCAAAATATATGAACTTATTATTCAATGTAAGAAACTAATGAAGATTCACCTGTTTTGAGCTGTCTGTTGAACCCTGGAGAAAAAGTAGGGAAACAAGTGTCTAAGGATAGTTGAAGCTATTTCTATGTCACCTTTAATTTTTAAGCAGTTGATGAAACACTGAATTAATTGGAGTTGCTGAACCAACCTTAACCTATTTTTTTTCCTCCAAAGTTTTAACAACTTTAGTTTGCAAAAGATCAGTGCTAACAAAAAGATAATGGTTTCCTATCTGAATATTTTTTTCATTAAACCAAAGGAACCAGAAATATTATTGTAGACTTCTAAAGGTCTAATGTTCCTGAAGTGAGGAACTGTCATTCTCTGCTAAGTTCACTACACAGTGGTAAACTATCTAATTTGAAAAAGCCTAGTGAAGCAATACTCACACACAGAAATCTTCTTCCTTGAGGAAAACTTATGTTCCCTGAATGCTTTTCAGTTTTGCAGTTATTTTGTTCTATTTTTGCTTCTAGTTGCTCTGAGCTCTGTACAAAATTCTGTTTAAAATGCCTCTTTGTTAGCTGTTTGTCAGGAATAAAGAACTATTCAGCTGTACTAGGATTAGCCCTCAGGATTGTCTCTGAAGAGGGCATCTACAATCTAGAAAACCTACAGAAAAAGGACTGGATACACTGTGGGGACCAGAATGCATGTACATATATATTAACACAAAAATCACAGACACTGATCTGAACACGCCCAAAAAGGAAAGGTTGAATTTTTGTTGGAATCACTGGTCCCAAATCATTCTGCCACATACGTGCCAAAGCTGTCTTTGTCTTTCATTTCATTCACCCACAATGTCTCAATTTCCAGTCTCCTGATAATTTCACATAACTGTATGAAGTGCAACATCTTACATTCTGTGTCATCACACTTCACATTACATACCTCATGTTAGCAACAAGAAGGTAAGTCTGGAGTTAAGTAACTGGAGATGCTCAGATGGCTTTATATCTGTGAATCTTCCATATTTCTGCCTCAAAACTGGAACATTCTTCCAAATGCTGACTAGAAGTATAGTGCCATTTTCCTACAGGGAAAATAAACACTAAAACTGTTAATAAGTAGGCAAATACTCACAAATAGGACGTTTAATGGCAAAGTATGCTGAAATGTTATAACTTGATGACAGAAAATTCATACATATGGGTTTGTTGAGGAGCAATTTCAAAGCATCACTTATGTGTCTGAGGAATCTTTTAATACTACTTTTTACAGGACTTAGAAATATCTGCTGTATCGCATATTTTTATCAGTAACTATGAGAACAACGATTTTTCAATTTTCTAACACTTCATACAGTATCACTGAGCTGAAGGAGAACAAAAGTTATCTACTCTAACTTTTTTTGAATTGTTTTAAAACACCACCAGTTAAGGAGACTCAATAACCTGCTCATGTCATGAGTTTAAAAAGTTTCCATAATTTCAAAAACTATTTTTTCCCTTAGAATTCAAACTCTATTTTTTTCCTATTCCTCCATTAAGCATATGAAGAACAGACTCACTCTCTCTCCACTCCATAGCATAAAGAAAAACTGCTACCACCTTCCTCCTTGGTTTTATTTATTTTGGTTCCCTAAACCTTCCTCCCCCACTCCACCCTCTAGCTTTTCTTGGTTTTGTAAGCTAAAGTCTCTTCTATGTATGTGCTATTTTGTAGATAACCTCCCATTTTTGTTACTCTTTTGTTGACTCATTCCAAATGCGTACCATTCTTTAAATGCTTCATCCCAAACTGAATACAGAATTAAAACAGGCTTTGTCAGTACTGAGCATATGTATGAAAATGGCCCGAGCAATAAATAAGAGGTAAATTAAAGGAAAATGCTAAAAAGTAATGACCATTTTTTAGATTAAAATGTTTAATTAATCACTTAGTTTGATTCATATGCATCCTCAACAATTACTGTTTATAAACACTCAACACTGTTAATTGATTCTGAACATAAATGAAGAAACTACCTCATGAGTAGATTTAATACCGTCTTTATATCAACTGAAAAAGATTTGCAGGAAATAATCTCCTCTATAATTTTAAGAATATCTCCCAGAAATGTGTAAAGTGCAAAAAATTACCCATCCTAATAAAAAAAAAAATAATAATCTCAGCCTACATAAGAGATTAAAAAGTAATTTGAAGGATTATACATATGCTGTAAAGATTTACTATGGGACGTGAATGGTCTGGTGGGTAAAAGCATTTGTTTGGAATTCTGATTATCTGAAAAATAAACTTACCATTAAGTTTCAAGGGGTTTGGCACATTCCCCTGTTGTGCAGCAGAAAAGCTGTTTGGGAAACTTGAAAAACAGAAAATTATTTCCTTTGAAGAAATATGGCTGTTATCGATTGTGTTAGTGCTGTACCTTTTTCATTAATTTCTATCTTGGTTCTGGAAGCTGAAGAGAAAATACCTGGAAAAAACAAACAAACAAAAAACAATTAAAAGGAAATACAAAAATAGTTTCAAACCGAATGACATCATCTACTATGTATTGCACATCATAAAAAAAATCACATTATAAAAATAGCTGGTGGCCATATGCTGATTTCTTTCTCCCTGAAAACAATTTTTCAAAACATTGTCAATTGAAATTTCAGGTGAGGAAATAACTAAGAAAAATATCAAAAGTATAAACATGCCTTTCTGCTCTACTTAGCAGATATGGGTATACATGTCCATGTACAACAGATGGCTCTTCGATTTAAATCGTATGCTATGTGATTTACCACATCTGAAGACCTGACTGTTTGTGTACCTCCATGTTTGTCTATTATCTATATACAGGTAGATATTATTTGTATCCAGATATTTAGGAACTCAAAGTTACAGCAGCTTCCTTTATGTTTACTATAAGGACAGAACTATCTATGAAAACATGTAATTAGAGGTATTAGAGACAAAGTAACATTAAGCTAAAAGCTATAAATGACAAGTGCATTTTCTTCAAATACTTTCAGATTTATCACTTATATCTACCAAGTGTGCACTTTTTTATAATCAACTTTTTACTTAGCCATCATATATACAGAGCAATAACAAATACTATCACTTAAAAAAACTACATCACAAAAGAGCAAAACAAGTAAAATAGTAAAATTATCCTTTGTATCATCTTCGCTACCAGTTAAAAAATAAATAAATTTGTGTTTGTTTGGTCAGCTCACATAGTCCTGCCACAAGCACAATCTGAAAAAAAGAAAAAAACCTGACACCTGCATTGTGGTGCTTTCCCCCATTTGCAACCAGAATTGATGGTTAGAACTAAAACACAGCTTTCAGTGTTCCCCAGTGCTATTTGTACAACAATTGAAATACAAAAAGTACAGAACTTAATGAACTGCCTTGGCAAAGCAATTTCAATTTTAGCAGATCAACAGAAAACAGAAGTCATTGGATTGATTCCTTATGACATGCAAGAGAATAAAACCAGAAATGCATCCTTGAAACCTAAAGGTGGCATGCCCAGACAGCTCACACACCAAGCAGACACCAAGTTCATTAAAGCCAAGTTCTTCAGCCAAGCCCTTGGCAACCATCAGCTTGGGCATCAAGCCCTCCAGCTGGGTGGCCACCAGCCAGGCTACCTGGCTTCCAGGGTAGCCCCAGGGGCCGAGGAAGGTTCCATGAACGCATTCAACAAATGGAATGCATCACCTACCCCCAGCAGGCAGTTCCTTGAGCCCAGCAGCTGAGAAAACACCCAAACCTTCTTCATGCAAATGAGGGACAGAGCCAGCAGCAGTGCTGGCTGCATAGGGAAAATGAGCAACTTATTATTCCCCTCCAGAAAAGAGATCTGAAAAGAAAGCAGCTCAGCCTGCGGTCCATCAGGTGGGCTGCATGGGGAGCAGGTTTTTTCAGTGATCCAAATAACTGTTTATTCAACCAGCTGGGAAGCAAGGCAGCCTAGAAACACTCAGTCAGGCTGGTGGAACTGCCAGGATCTGCTTCAGAAGGGAGATGAGTAGGAACATCAGTATTCAGCAGAGGGAAATCTCTCTTTTACAAAACCATTTGGCAAGTTCAAAAAAAGAAGGTCCCTGACCTACAAATATTGGAACTCTGAACAGCTAAAAACATCCACAAAGTGTAGATAGACCAAGGCAAGGGATGTGAGACTATTTGGAAGGAACAAGATTAAAACCTTACATAAACCATAAAGCCCTACTGGGAAATACCCTGCCAGCAAACTTCCCCCCGGCAGAACTGTGCCAAGCAGTCTGCATTTGCATAGATCTGCCTCTGCCTAGACAGCACTCCTGACAATTTCAGTGCAAGAAGAGGTACCATGGCACAATGAAGGCTCTATGGTCTATCTGCATCAGTGTGAGGCAGTGGTGGTATCTCTGTACAAGCTAACTCTTCTGTGGACACCAGAGTTGCTGCCAGCTGGGTCCTGTTCACCACCCAGAAAGGTTTGTTTCCCTATATAAGTCTTAGGATTTACGTTGGGTAGCTCCTTTTGGTACTTTACCTTGTGACTTACGACCTCTGCAGTCCAGATGCTGCACGGTGGAGGTTTCCGCGAGAGACTATGGATCACTAAGGTATGTTGCAACATCTCTTTGGCAGAAGAAATGGGGTGTCATAATCCCACAGTCCTTTTCCTCCACTCAGGTGTCTTTTTTTTTTTTTCTTCCTTTCCATATCCCATGTTTCAAGCTTGAATTCAAAACCCTGGACTCCGAACAAACAGTTTCAGCACTCCTGAGCCTGCTCAAAAGAGACAAAATATTTCGTACTTGAAAGCCCACACTCACAGCAAGACAAATAGCAGGGGACAGCAAGGAGCAGGATGACAGTAGGCAAAGATCAGCGGTCCCTGTAAATGATTTCTGAAAAACCCTTCACAGCAAACTGGCATCTTAATGCCTTGCTACGTGCACAGATCTGTGATGTCAATCTGTGACATGCAGGCATTTTCTGGGAGTTACGTTACAAATTCCCCTCAGGTCCTCAGCAGGTACACCCTGGGGTGTGAGCTGGTCAGACAGCAGAAAATTGGATGGTTGAACAGCATGTAGTGGAGGCTCATGATCTCAGCAGGGGAAATATTTCGGTGGTTGCTACTATGTGCAATGTATTGCAGAATGAAAGCTCTGCTGAAAGGGATGTGTTGTTGCCTCAATAAGATGGACAGGGTGGTTTTGAATATTCTGACATAAAACTAATGTAGGTAATACACCATTAAGGAAAGCTTTAAAAGTCCTGTGAAGCCATCTATAATGAATAACTCTGAGGAGATGCTACTGCTCTGGGGATTTGCACTGCCATCTTGCTTATACGGTAAACATACTTGTCTTTTTCCAGTGCAGATTGTCAAGTGTAATTGACAATAGTGTGAAATTCTTTGATGAAAATATATAAGCACAAAGTACAAGCCATTTAAAACTGGACTGAGTTTTTCCAGCCAGAAGAATGGTTCTTTCTGTGGTGTTTCAATCCACATTTTCGTGGTCTGTTATTTCAAATAGAAAAAAACACACCCTAGTGTGCAGCCTTTCTGATTTCCAGTGCATTGATCAGCTATTCTAGTCTGACACCTGAAGATACATGCTCAAACTTGAAAATCAATTAATGTTGAGATTCTGTGCAATTCTAACATTTTTGTTTAATAATATTTAAATACACTTCTATAAATACATAAAATATTACTAGTTTCTTTCTTTCTTTCCCCCACTCTGGGATAGCAGAATCTGGACAGTAGACTTTGTGCATGCAACTGAAGATGCTACAAGGAGATGTACTTTAAATGTATGGCATCAAATCAGGCAGAGCTTTAAAATTGCAACATTCCCTTGTTTACTGATACATTGACTGCACAGGTCTGTCTAGTGTTGGCTTTTTTGTAGTTCATGAAGACAAGTATCTCTATTATTAGAGATTACTACTCATCTAAAAAAAAATTAAATAAATCTTCTGTTGATTCCCAAATGGTGATGAGAACCTAATTCACCATGACACATGGCATAGAGTTAAGCCTAGTGAGAGACTTGAGGTCAACGCTAAGATTACAGTTTCTCTATTTCCTCTTCCAATAAACCTACTGTAATCTAGGATAGTCTGGCCAATCTCTGACCTTTCCTCATATTTGTAAATGTTTGATGCATGCTTTCAGAGACCCCTCTGACTGGATATCCTCTGGGAGGATATTTGATGGAAAACTAGAACTAACTTCCTGGACCATGCTACACCTTGACTAGCTTGCTTGAAGAGGTGAAACAGGATTTTTAAACTAGATCAGTTTCCAAATCCAGTGAGTCCTGAGCTCCTGTGTACAGAAGCTTGACCGAAGTGGTCACATTGCTGCAGGAAAGGTTGCACATGGAGGTGCTATCAAAGGCAGAGGTACACAAGGACTGCAACAGTCTGTGTTGCTTGGAAAGGTGAAGTGCAGAAAACCATAAAATAATAAAAAAAAATCTCAGGAAAAAAAAATGTCATTGCTCAGTGCAAAGTTTTTGTTGTGGGTGCAGAATGCTGATCATCCTGGAGAATTCCATCTGGAAAGATGTGTATGTCAAATGCTAAAGGTTGTATTGCATTACTGTGCCTTCCCTTTAAAAACAAAACAAAACAAAACAAACAAACAAAAAACACTAACACACAAAAAAACCACAAGCTATTCAAATGACCTACTTGTCACATTCTGACAGCCCACATTGTGGCGCTCTCATCTCCAGAACAGCTGAACACAGCCCTCTTCATATTTCAACCAACTCCTTCTCATCAAAAAACCCTTTTCTCTCGTGTTTTTTTTTTTTTTTTTTTTTTTTTTTTTTTTTGGGTTCCTCTGCAAGTTTATTCCATGTTTGCACTCTTCACAAAGGCTGCTGAGCCAGAAGTATTTTACCTTTGCCAGTTTTTACTGAGCATTTCTAGCAATACTTATCTAAAACTATCCACCAGGGTGCTCTCTCACTGTTGCTGTGCTGTGAAAGGCAAACACAGGATAACTAAGCATAATGATTTTCTTCTAAGTGTCTCTCTTGACTGAAGAGGGACCTTTTGAATGTCCGAGTTCTTCCAATAGTTTCAAGTGACCTTTTTTTGACTGGTTTTCTTCCCCAGGTTCAGGGAGATTGTCAGTTTAGCTAAAAAGCTTCCACAAAAGGAAAGTTACCTGTTATTATAGAAAAGCCTCTATTTTCCTTCATATTTGCCCTTACCACTTGGCATATCTCAAAGGAACAATTTCCCTATAAGCTAACAATTTCAATTAGGAGTTACACCTCTCTATTATTTATATAATTCCAGAAGCAGGGATGAGGCTTTAAACAAATTAAAAGATAATCTATTGTTTTTGAAAACATACATTCAAATTGGATGTTGATTTTTTTAAAAAGTAATCTAAGTACGAAGGCTGGGCACAAAGACTGGAGGCTCACATAGGAAATGGATTAAGAGTGAAAAACAACTTAATAATACAAGTGCACCTGTAGCCTGACCTGCTTGTCTCAAAAGAATATCATGCTGGTGAGTGCATCTCCCTTAGACAAAAGGTTTAACTACCATGCTGTGGCAGACCTGAGCTGCTCTGAATCGAGTTTATGAATACTGCATATTGTCAAATACTTCAGGATGTTTACAGTGTGAATACATTCAGACACCTCAGCTGCCCAAGACAGGTGGGATGCAAAAAATCATATGTGAATATATTCATAGTTTTATATACAACTATTAAAGGACAAAGCCATTAGGTGATGAAAGCTTGGTCTCTTCATCATACGTATCTAGAATGGGGATAAACCATAGACCAGAACAATCACAGCTCTGAATCAGGTGCGACAGAACCTGGTGTGAGGGTATGAAGGTATGGTGGCACAGCTCTTCTGTCTGAAGGCTTCTCATCAAAGAATGATGCTGCCATCTGAATAATTTGGTATCTTGAAGTCGTGCAAATGATGGCTTCATAGAAAAAAAAAAACCAAACATTTTTCTATGTTTTACATAGAAAATTCAAAGTAATACCTTTAAGACCAGAATGGGGGAAAAGAGTAGTGAATCTGGACAGGATATGAAGATTATGAAGATTAGAACTGCTGATCAGTGAATATTCCTGGATGTAAAATTCAGATAACAAATGCCAAATTATAGCCATAACACTAGTACTGTTGTGTCAAGAATCTGGTACACATCTATCTCCCTGGAGCCTTCCAGGAAGGTCTCAGCCATCTTACATAAAAGCCTGAAATTTTCTATTGCGTCTTTTGACAGAATAAACACCAACTTCTCACAGTTATGTTTCTTCTCTAAAGATTTCTCTATCAAATGAAGGATACAAGATTGGTGGGGAAAATAGAAAAATCTCACTAGACATCAGTTGTTTAAACAAAAAGGTGGAAGAATGACAACCTAATCATTACCTGAAGTAATCACAATGTGACAGCATATTTATTGAAAATGAAAATTGGTCAAAATGATGCTTTTGTCTAGCAGTCAAGGTTCAAAGAAAAAGGTAGTACTAAACCAATGCAGACCAGAAACAAGGTACATTTTTAGTGTAAATATTCATTACACACTGGTAAACTTTTCCTATGGACTGTGATGGCAACATTTGAAATCAGAATAGGACCTCTCCCCCTCCAAAAGAGACATAGCTTACTGAAACAGGAATCAACTTGGGCAAGATGTTCTGATATGCTTCCAGACAGAAAGTAGACAATGGCTATTTCTTCTAGCTATGTAAGTGATAAAAGTTAATTTATCTTCTTTGCCAACAAAAAATTACAAATATCAAGTTATCTTTCTGTAACATTTGGTAACAAGCATTTGGCAGCATGAATCAGGGATCATAAAACTCCCAAATACTTTCTAAAAGACTCTGAAGTACTGGGACAAAGAATGCCAACTGCCAAAAGAAAGATATAGACACTTCTAATTAGCATCCATAATATTTTATTTTTTTCCTTAAAAATTCAATTTTAGATTTAGGAAAGTAGTATTAGGCAATTAAAACCAGTGATACCTGAAAAGAAATTTGAGTGTGAATTTAAGTTACATGTGTTCCTTACACAGCATTTCAGAACAGCATCTAAGATTCCCTTTGAATTAGTAACGCAGAAGTTGGTTACTGGTTTCTGACTGTGACTCTCAACTTGGTGAATTCCCAAATACCACAATAGCAGGGATACTGTAAGACCTGAAATTGAAAGAAAAACAAAACAAAAATAGCTTTATTGGGAAGGAAAACTTTAGGAAACTATAGACCAGTGTAGGATGAGCAAGTTTATATCTGTATCTGTTAGAGCATGGAAAGACAAGGATCACAAGGGAAAACAAGACACTGGAAACAAGGTGGATCAAGAGCTTCAAAGGTGAAGGTCTCTAAAAAGGTTTTGGAGAAATTACGGAGGGTTAATGAAGCAAACAGAAAGGTGGTAAAGGAATAAAGTCATAAGGAAGTAGAACAATTTGGATAGACAGTGAAATTGATATGAATTAATAGGAGAGATCCCGCAGGGAGACAAAATGTAACAGGCATTTAAATACAAGAAAAACAGACAGCAGGGTGTTTTATTATTTTTTTTTATATAATGTACCATCTGTGAGTACATTCAAAGGTAGGCTGAAGTAAAGGTTTGATTTAGGAGTTTTCCCATATAATCTTCATGCTTACTACTGTACCTGTGCACCAGAGGACTCCACGCCCTTCAGGATGAGCAAGATGCAAAGACTTGTAACTTGATACAACTTCAACTTTATTAACTCTAGTCTTCTGAGAGTCCACACAGTGCAGGCCATGATTCTACAATTAATCACTCTCCAGTGGAGGAGGATTTATCAGTTCTCAGTAGCTTACTTCCAAAATCCTGCTGCTTTGTTATCTATTGTTACCTCTTTAGTGGCTGACACTAGAAGTTCTATCTCTGTCCCATATCTTTCATTTATTTTAAGGCAATACCTTAATCTTTCCTGGGGAATCAGGAAAAGAGACTGCATGGCATGAGATCTATCCTGGACACCTACCAGAGACAGCTGCAAACAATTACATTTTTCTTACCTACCACGGGTTCCAAAATCAATTTTCCCACAAATTACTCTGGTATCAAATATGATCATTCAATTATTTCTTCATTCAGACTGTTTTTGACTTTGTTAACTCAGACTGATTTGATCTTTTTCCTTCTGGTGCAGTATTCTAGAGAAAAATAAATGTCCTGGACCTACTTTATTTTTCATTCCACTCATTAAGTGAATAGAACTAAATAAACTCAAACACTATACAGTTGTTGAACAATAACAATCTCTGAAAGCTCCTTCCTGGATGCTAAAGAATCAGATAGCATGATAATGTCTCTCCTCTAGTCTAATTGCTTCCACCACCTCTACTCAAGCTATATCAACTACTTGCAAGCAAATAGAATCTACAGTACCTTGCCTGTACTTTTAAGTGCAGACTTGCATTTGGATAACACTTTCTTTTCTTTGTGGGCCCTGTCATTCACCTTGCTGAAGCTAGCTCAGTTGCCTCAGAGGCAGGATAGTGTCCAGGATAAAATGGTAACTTCTGTGCTTGGACCTGAAGATCAATTGCATTAGCTCCTCTTACTATCTTAAAGGCAAGGAGAAATCTAAGAGGTTAAAATATTTATACATTTGAATAAACATCACTTGTAGCTTTATATGAACAATTCAAGGAACATGTTTAACACTGACACTTATTTGAATTAGTATCATAGATATGTCTCATTCATTCAAATTTGTGTGTACAGTATCCTGAATCACCAAGAGATGCTGAATTAGTTTTCTTCCTATGAGGAAAAAAGCCTCCTGCCACAATAGCGGCAGTAGAAGAGCTCACCATTCTTTGGCTGGGACTTCCTTTCTTTAAACCTATTCATTTGACCAAAGTTCCTTGGTTTCTGATACTCAGCACTATGTTGTCATATCCTTTACTGCCCAAGTTCTTTCTTTCAAAGCTTTGTAAAGGAAGAGACTGGGGGAACTGCCTAAGACTTGCTAACAAGCAATCAAGTGGTCTCATGTCAAGCATGCAGCAAATTCAAATAGCCTGCAAAAGCTACCACTGACACCAGAAACTAGAGTCTGTCTCACAGCCTACATGCCCACAGGTGGCTGTCAGCCTAACGCTATCACCAGTGTTCAGGGGAACGGTCATGCCCAAATGGATTCCTCATGCTCTCCTCAGACTGTGACTGATATCACAGGACATTGTTTCTTTTGTCTTATGTTAATCAGAATGTTATTGCACTCATAAAACATCATGCTGGAAACTCAAAGCATAACACACAACCTCTTAGTTTTGAGGAAGATACAGTTTGCAGATGGAAAATCTATGAGTATGCTATTTTCTTCTTTAATACTACTGGGAGAAGAGCTGAACCGGATGTGTAAATATATTTAAAAAAAAAAAAAAGGCATTAGAAAAATAAAGAGGAAATACTGAAGTCAGTCACAACACTGATGCCCCCTCTTTGGTTTGTATACTTTTCTTACTCCATTCCTATTTTGAGATTGTCCATATTAGACTCAAAGTCCTTCTGCTCTTCAGTCAGATTACCAACAATAAGCACCAAACAAGATATATCTTAAATTAGTTCTTCCATTGGCTCTTCAGCTATCCTTTCCCTGTGTAGGAAACACGCTCCTGTATAGCATTTTCTTGTCTAACGTATGCAGTCTTTGCAGCCTTACTTGCCTTCTGACTCCTAGCACAAAGAGAAGCGTTTTATCTGACTTCACGGTCCATTACCTGGATTTCATTTTGTAGCAGTTTCCATGAATGAACTTCCTTCCTCATTAGGTTGCTAGAGTCAATATTTAAAAGCAATCTAAAAGAGGCTATATAAGATGGAGTTCTGGCATGAAGACGAGAAGAAAAAAAAAAAAAGCAAGTTTGAGTATCTAAATAAACTATTTATGGTAACTAATAAAAGTGAAACTTCAGCTCTGAAAGAAAAAATAGATGAAGAGAAAGGGTGGAGGAAAACAAGTCAGACCTATGTTAGTTAAATCATTCAAAGTCTTCTAATCATTCCTCCAGGAAGTGATGGGTGATTAACTTGACAGGAGAATCAAGAATATGAACCAAAACATGAGAATTATATGAATTTCACAGAAATATTCATTTTTACAAGTCACAAAGCTGTTGGCAATTATTTGTCATCCTGTTCCCAAGCCTCAGTCAGACTCATAATCAAAGCTTTGGATCCTAGTATCTTTTTTCATTAATCAGTCAATGCTTCAAGTAGTTTTATAGGGTCTTTCTTTCCTTGGGCACAGGATACTCTTCAAGTATAATAAAATTAGACTTGATACCTACTATATAGCTTTCTCACTTTTGATTTTCTGTTTTTCATTTTGTCTCTGAGTGCAGCCATACTAAAGACCTGGGAAATGAATTTCTCTCAAATGCGGTCATGCCGGAGAGAACTTTGTGGGAATTGATACCCTAATACACTAAACTGCACAGGTAGCACCAGTGCAGTGGGATCACCCTTATGGATTGGAAGAGACTATTCTCTGTGTAAAGGCTTCTTGCAGAGGCTGCTGTTTCCACCCACTCTTGCATATTTTGCTATGTGGACACTAGTTTGTTAAGGTCATGGATTCATTTTCCATAGTCCAGTAAACAGCTATCTTAATGAATTTTTTTGGCTGATACTCCATTACTGCTGGCATAATAAACAGCTGACTAAAGTATTCCAATGTTCAGTGAACAATGATAAAAGTGTCTATTAAGGGTATGCAGCTATGCCAAATACGATCATATATAATCAGCTGCACCAGAAGAGCCTGTCGACACATTGGAGAATATCGTCAGTCAGATGATACATCTGCTACAAGTGGCAGCTGTTGTACTCTGGAGTGTAGACAATTAGACATGAATATACTCCTTGGGCTATTTACAGCGCTCAAGCACGGTATTAGCTGACACCTGTTAAGCTGTAATCCCTATATTTTTGATATCTACTCATCATAATTATTGAAAATAAAATTTAAGAATTCTAATGACATTGAATTTCATAAATAATGGTGAGTATAACTGCAACACTGTCTTCATTTACAAACTTCATTAGCACAAACTCTAAATAGTTCAGTCAGGCTAATTACAATTATAAGCCCCTTACCAAGTTCATAAAATCCAAGTAACACATGTAATGCAAATATGTGCTATGTTGTAAATTTTTATATCTAATTACTGAAGGGGGGTGTCAGTAATATTGCAATTAAGGCCACATATGTTCTGTGGCGAATAAATAACTGTTGAATGGTAGTATTATAAAAAAAGCTGATTACATAGTTATGAAGAATTTGAATGTGAGCCTTCGCCTGTGGCATACACACTTATGCATGCAGTGAGTTTTATTATCATATTTTTCTTTCTTTGACTATACCTGCACTTCACTTCATATCACTAGACATGGAGATAATTTTCATTGGATTATCACCCCTTGCATTTTCTCTTACAATTTTCTCTTGTGGTGAGGAAATAATCCAATCATTTATCAAGCTATTTTTTATATTTATATAAATATAAGGAAGAAAAATTAAATACCACAGATGTTCTTTAAGTACGTCAGTAACAAGAAGTTTTTGAAGTCTTTTCTAATAAAGTTTTCCTCAATGTAGAAAAATAACATGGCCCCAGAAGTCAGGATAAATTATGAAAGCATATCTCAGCATAAGGGTCTGGCATATAATAGTAGCTATATCATTACATAATAATTAACTCTTCAGGTTTGTTTATCATGGGTTGAAAATAATGCCCATAGTTCTCATATAAAATAAGATGGAAATTGAAAGGAAAAAAAACAACCATCCACACTTAAAAAATAAATACTTGACTCTTACAGTCCGTGACAAAAGTTACTAACCAAGCACAAAGGAGAAAGAAGAGCTTCTGCGTTAGAATCTAGTTGTATAGTAAGGGATATTAAAATACAGTTCTAAATAAACTATAATGTTTTACTGTTATTAAAGTAACTAATGCATTACAAGTTATTAATTTGCCAATTGAAATGTTACGGACCTCAGTTTTCTGTTTTTAAAGCACAAGAGGAATCAGGTTCACCCTCTTTAAAAACCATGTTCTTCCTTCAAAAGGCAGATGACTCGATTTACTGAAGACTTTTAATTTCATCTAGTTTTCCTCTAGATTTTGTAAGATATAGTTAAGAACAGTTCATAGCTCTAAAGCACTGCAGGGAAGATAATAGGTCCCAATAACGCAAATATATATATATACATATACATATGAATATCTATATATGCATATTTGTATATATGTATGAAATAATAATACAAAACCCCAAATTTGTAAATTGCCTTTTTTTTTTTTTTTTAACGTGCAGTAAATAAGCAGTACATTACAACAACTTACAATGAATTTCAACAATTCATTAGTACTTACCATGCTGTACCGTGTCACACAGCCTGGGCACCAACAACACAAGGCTTCTCTTCATGAGGAACGTGACACCTGCTTCAGAAGTCAGCTCCAATACAGTAAAAGCCAGCACAAGAGCCTGGACTGGATCAGGAACTAGACCAGCATCTAGTCATGAAACCAAAAGCTCAGCAAGAGGAAGGAGCCACCAGCTACAACAGCCCCAAGCACTGATTACCAAACAAGCACACAGCTGCTCCTCCTGAGTCCTTTAATATTCAAAGGATATTTAAACCCTTTTAAATACCCTTTGGCCTCTATAGGATTGGTTGAGTGAGTAGATAGGTTGGCCTGGCAGCAGTTAGAAACCTTTGCTGGATTGGACGGGAGACAAATTTAGTCAGGGAGAAAAACCTTCCACAAGACCAATAGGGCTAGAAACCATATTGGAGTGATCCCAATATGAGTGCTTTGTCAGGCACTTGGAAAATGAGAAGTTTATCAAGCTGCCCAGAATGCAGAATTTCCTCTAATATTCCCTAAATGTCACTTAATGTCCTCTAAATGTATCATTTTTTTAAAACTCTCCTTCATCCCCACACCAGAAAAAAAATGTCTTAACTTGCTGACTGTTTGGAAAGGAACATAATTTATATGCCAACTCAATAAATGTGACAGCTTTTATGATTGTCATTTTTATTGCCATAAACATTTTAAGAATATGAGGATAAGCAGACTAAAATTAGAAAAGTAATTACTAAGAAAGGAGGAAGTTATCAGAAGTTATTTTAAACCAGATTTTGCTAAACTACAAAATGGTCAACAAAAAAATTAAAAATGCCACTTCAGCAGTGTGCTTTTAACACAGGTTTGGAAAAAGAGCAAAAGCTCTGAACAGTGTTCTAAGTCCATATTATTCTAGATTTCCAGCAAAACTTGATTCATGTGGTTTGAGAAGAGTGGCTACAAGCTTTTGCAGAACCTCTGGGACCTCGGAGTGTTCATGACCCTTGCTGTCAGGAGAGATGAACAATGCTGGAGGAACACACGTACCCTTTGCACCAACACTTTGAGGGTAATAGATTTAAAAAACCCTCAGTGGTCCTATTAAGACTGTACTTTAATCGAAATGGAGCCAGTCTGCTGGCACTGAAAATTAAAAAGGTTGTAGAACAGTATTTATGCTAGGAGCTGGGTGAAAGCCAACAGGCACATGAGAGCACCTGGTTCAGACTGATGTGACCCCTGAGAGGATGCGGTTAATGTTCAGTGTGTCTCTGAAAGGTCAGGAGGGAATAAACATCAAATTCACAATAAATAGAGTAGAGAAACCAGCCTGCCAGCCAGCCAGGCCAACTGGCATGTGCAATGTCAAACAAAAGAGCAAGGGCAAAATTTACAAGTGCTTTTTCACCAGGGCCACAAGCCCAGCACAAAGGATAGGGACAGAAAGACCTTAACTGCTGATGGTACCAGGGTCCTACATGCAGTGAGTACATTCTCTGTAGCGGTTAAGTCATAAGGGCTAGGTCACTGGGGAGTAAATGTAGAAGGATTAGACCCAATAAATTAGGTGTTAGCCAGGACTGTATGGGATTTATCTGAGAGTTCTGGAGAATTATAAGAAGAAACTGAGGAGAAGATTAAGACTCTTGACTTTGAAGAGCCTTTGGAAAAGCTTGAAGGGGATGTGTTTAACCTCTGTAGTATCATGGAGGTGGTTGATAAAGTGGCTGCAGAGTTATCCTTCATCAAATCCCACAGTATCAAAATTAGGGGCCCTCAATGAAATTATCTGTAGATCAGTTTAAAGGTGATGAAAGAAAGCACTTCTCTAAGCAGCAGGTGATGAATATTAGGAACTTGCTGCCAAAAAAACGGCAGCTGTGCCAGCAGCTTTGCAAACAAATGAGAGAAACTCACAGGCAACAGAGCCATGAACAGACAGTATAGGTACAGGTGGGGAATACAACTGTGGCTACTAGAGGAGTCTGTGGGGAAGGTGCAGTGTAACTTGAGCACTCATATGCTGTTCCTAAATACCACCCTCTGCTGCCACTATCAGAGATTGGTCTGACCTAGACTTGGGCATTGGTTCTCCAGAGTCCACAGAACTCTGTTAGCAGTGGAAATGCTAACAGGAAAACTACTCAGTGTGATATCTAAGGTATTTCATTCAGGGGGTGGTTAGGATCGTTTGATTCAGAATTATGCACAATCTTTAAACTTGGCTTGTAAAATGAAGCATTACTTCTGTGCACTGTTTCTACTAAACGTGATAAGGTAAGCCCATTAGCCTGCAGAACTTTCACAACATTAGTATTTACTACAGACTCTTAAAGAAAGAGTCCT